TTAACTCGTAACCAAAATGAACAACAATTGCAGGGGTGCAGAGCACAGGGCTTCGTTGCCTTTGTTAGTTATCCTGTCTTCTGTTAGCCTTGGAGGACTTCAGTGCTTAAGTTCTGTTTCCAGAAACGACATATAAAAGTTGGAAGGGCCAGTGAAACCAGTATAATCAGGCCATGATTCTCTTGACAGCAATAGAAAAAAGAATAACCGCTACAATTACCAGCTACAATTACAATACTGAGTGGGTGGTGGCAAAGTTATTGTTCCAGAGCAGGAATGGGGAAACCCATGACTCTCCTGATGTTGTTGAATTAAAAGTCCAATGACCCCTGGCCATTGGCCATGCTGACTGGGAGATGGGAATTTGAGTCCATTATGTTTGTATTTGAGTGTGTACACACACACACACCCCTCTCCAAATGCATCACTGGATTTTTAATTATGTTATTGCACATACATTTCTTCTATTATCTTTTTCGAGTCATGCTACTGCCTCATACCCTAAAACTGGAATCGGTAATCAGATTACAGTGGTTATATCCATGGTGGTCCCCCAGAGAAACAACTGCCAGGGAAAAGGCAGAGGAGTGTAATTTTCAGACATAATGTGCTTTGTTTTTGATTGTAAAATTTAGATTGTGAAATGCTTGCTTTTTGCTTTAAAGGTTCTAGGATGGTCAAAATTTCATAGGAAGGGGCTGTTTTGATCAGGAAGTTTTGTACAGAAAGTTGGTATTTGAGAGATTAATGTCTTCATAGGCTTACCACCAAGAAATATAATTTCAATGTGCAACATTTATTGTCATAACACTAGGAGCACTGACTCTAGAACAATTTGCACAAAATCAGGACTCATCCACACTTCTGTTTGCCCCAAGAAAACCAGCAGTTTAATTCTGAACTGGAACAAAAGGGCAATTGGGTTTTCTGTGGATTGCCTTTTGTTCCAATTCAGCACTAAAGAATGTGTTTTCCAAAGGAAAGCCGTGGGGCAAAGGCAAAACCGCTCAGACCCATGCCTAGAAAGCAAGGGACAAGCAGGAAACCGTTCAGACCTGTGCTTTCTATGCACAGAACAAGCAGAAGAGTGGACAAGCCCCTAGCATCATTGCTTCTTAACAGGTAGCAGTATACTTAGTAACCAGGGTATGAAAGGCACGATAAGTTTTGTTGTTTTTCCACGTGGAAAATGGCTTAAGAGAAGCTTACTACAATCATCTTTCTCAGCCCACTTCTTTCTTAATAAAATACTTCAAGTCCATTGTCATTCTTTGCAGGAATTAAGCTAACATATGCAAATCACAGCAATCAGTCTTACAGCATATTGTTCTTCATAATCCAAGTACTTTTACAAATATTATTCAGAAGCCACTAAATTAGGTATTAGATTATGGATCAATTACCATGAAAAAATGCATCATAACTGCTTTGTTAACAGGAAACTTCTGCTTGCCACTGCCCAGTTAAGACACAATTGTTCTCAAATAATTCTACAAGGCACTGGCGGGGCACAAGAGCACAGTGGAACTGAATGTTCCCATCAACAACAGTTTCCATCACTGCCACCAACATTTCTGGATTATTAGCACTCCCAGAAAGAAATCACACAGGACTTCAGTTGGAGCCAGTCTCTCTCCTTAAAAAAATTACAGCAGTGAAGGCTGTGTCTTGGCAGTGATCTCTTAGGGTATGCACCTATGACGACAATTAGGAAACCACTTGCTGTGATGACTTATCATCTGTCCCAGATGTAGTAGCTGATATATAAGAGGACCTTTCCAGGGAAGGAGATATGTGGAGAGGTTGGCTCTGGGAGCTTTGAAAATATATTTGGCAGACTAAAAATAATCTGCTGTTTGTGATCCTAATGATGTTAAGGGACCCATATCTTACATGTGTGTTCATGGAAGTACCACCTCTGGGATCTTGAATCTGGAGATGATTCCATACTACAGAGGTTATTCCACTACATTAGTACCAATTTTGACTTGTCAATACTGTACTGCTTACTTGGAAAAATTAGCAAGAACCAATAAATGGCAATATTAGTTATTTACACAGAATGGTGGACAGGGAGTAAATGTGCTACTGGCACTGAATGTGCTTACAGGATCAACTTTGCAGTGCTTTTTGTCTAAAAAAAATGTTTAAGGGTACTCTCATTTTCCTACTCATATTGAAATACTGCCCCTCAATGAGGCAAAACTTAAGATTCACAAAATGCTTAGGGGTATGCATCCCCCTGCGTCCCCCCAGAAAAAAGCACTGCAACTTTGTAAGATTGAGGCACACTGGCAAGACACCCTAAGACAAACTATAGCTACCTGGGACTGCACTCGTATGTTTGTTCTTGGCTAAAGCTCATGATTAGTCAGGACAAGCACAAGTTCGAACAACACACATGGCAAAGACTTAAGAAAAGACTGGGGGTGGGGGGCAAAGCAGCTGGGAGCTCCCCTCCAGGAGCCCAAGTGTTCACACTGTCCTGATAAATCATAATCGGTCTTACCACAATGTGCAAACCAGGCCATAGTCATAAATGTTAATAGTGCTGGAATATACGCATCCATCTTGAAAATGTTAAGTGAAAAAGAAATGGAAATTTTAGTTGATACACACCCAGAAGTATTAAATAAACAAATGGGGTTGAGGTTTCTCACTGAAGAAGCATTTTATATAGATTGGGCATCTCTTTAAAATAAACAAAATATTGAAGAGGCTAAGCAAGTCCTAGAAATTATAAATGGTTGTTTGCAAAGTACTATTCTGATTGATAGCTGTCTCTGACTTCAATGTTGACTTTCTCTATAACTTTTTATCAAGGACTTTTTCATGAGGCACCAATGGGGAATTTGCCCACAAACAATACAAGCTTCAAAAGAGGGGTTTTGATGGGGAAACTTAATATTCTCCCTCCATGCCTGCACTGATTCTATTAGTATCAATTCCCACAGCTGATGCAATTTAAAACACCTGCACATTAGGTGCAAAAGTGCATTTAACCTCACATGTCGTTTGGTCATGAGAACTGGAACACCAGGCATGATGCTACAAGGTGTGTGAGGATGCAGAGTAATTAGCCAATTTTAAACTTTTCACCCAATAACAAAACCCTGCAAATTGAGAATACAAACCTTTACTAAGCAAAACAGCTAACCATTGGAATCTTGGTTTCCTTTGCATTCATGAAAAAAGTAGTATTTAAAGTCTCCCTAGTATTTAAAGTCACCTCCTATTTGGTGGGAGGTGACATTTTCTCCAGTTTTTAACAGAAGAGGGAATATAAGGGCACATCAACATCATCTTACATCACAGTAATAAAAAATGATTTCTATCTGGCATCATGCTAAAATTTATAATGTGGTCGTGGAAATCCCCACCTCAGCCACAAACTTAATAGATGGTCTTAGATAAGCCTCTCTCTCCCTCTGCTCTGCCCCTGCCATTTTCAAAGCAAGGGTCTTTTACAGAGAAGACTGTAAAGGTTACTGCAATAGTATATGTCTAGAATTTCAACACCATATAAATGCTATTATCGCTACATCTACTTTTGATGAAGTAAACCTGCATGGATATAAACATTCTCTCCAAAACACAATAAAAAATCACAACTGCATAATGAAAATGTCAGATTGTATTCTTGCTTCTTCTTGTTTAATAAAACTAGTATTTTCCCCCACGACTGCAAGTCCCTACATTATCTTGATTAATTGCATATTTTTATCACTATGATTATTATAATCACAAAATAATAATCACAAAATTGTAATCCTCTCTGTTAATGAGACTTTCCTAACACAGTCTTCCTCTTATTATCCAATTCTAAAAGGGGGCAAAACACCGCTTGAGCAGGCATAGAACTCTGGATATGCATAAAGATTTCAATGTTAAGTTTGACTACTTGATCATTTCTATTTCAAAGCTATCTGTCATGCAATATAGCCTGATTAAGGATTCTGACTAGGTTTGCCAGTATGCCCTGGTGGGAAGGAGAACAAATTTAGTCATTTCTCATTTGTTTATTTTATTTTGTCCTAGTCAGAACAGATCCAGCCTGCTGACTTGCCACTATCATTTTAACATTATTACTGATGCTAAATCTCTGTCCTAAACGCCAGTCAGGCTGGCAAAAATTAACGCCCCCCCCCTTTCCCCTTTATGTTGGAAGGGCTGTGGAAAGCTTGAGTCATTTATTCATGTTCGGTGGGAATGCTCTTACGTTAAAAACTTTTGGAATAGAGTATTCTCCATTATATATGCAATTACAGGCCAACCCCTTTCTCCAAATCCTACCTTAGCCCTACAATCTTTGGACATAGACTTAGGTTCCACCCTGTGCCACAGTAAACTAGTAGGCTTCTTACTGACTGCAGCACAATTAGCGGTAGCTCAGCAATGGAAGAAACAAACTGAAATACCCCTGAACATTTGGGGAAATAATATCTGGGATGTCTCAGGGTCTCACCAGACACAGGAGGGCAATTAATGGCATAACAAACAGAGACACCTTCCAAGAAACGTGTTTCTTATGTTATTGGTCAAAATCAAGACCTGGTTATACCAACTACTCAATATTCTCAGTGGAGTGGTTACATCAAGTACCGTATTTCTCGCTCTATAAGACACACCAGACCACAAGACGCACCTAGTTTTGGGAGGAGGAAAACAAGAAAAAAAATATTCTGAATCTCAGAAGCCAGAACAGCAAGAGGGATCGCTGCGCAGTGAAAGCAGCAATCCCTCTTGCTGTTCTGGCTTCTGTGATAGCTACGCAGCCTGCATTCGCTCCATAAGACGCACACACACTTCCCCTTACTTTTTAGGAGGGAAAAAGTGAGTCTTATAGAGCAAAAAATACGGTAATATGTTTGAATGTTGAATGTGTAAGTGTATGTCTAGAGACAATGGATAAAACAAACATCGTTAACTGTACTGCTGTATAGGTGTTTAATGGCTATTGTATTTGTATAAAAACCAATAAAAATTTGGTTGGGTGTGGGTGTGTGTGTGTGTGTGTGTGTGTGTGTATATATATATATATATATATATATATATATATATATATCACACACACATGTGTCCTAAAGCCAGGTGGAAAGAATTCCTTACCTTCACTGGATCTTGGTGGCACTGCTTTAAATTCTTAAAGGACATTGGGGGAGGGGCTCTTATATGGCACATAATTTTCTCTCTTCCTTAACATCAGGATGTCTTTGTTGAGTAGGATATTTTACAATGATGACAAACAGTAAAGGTGAATTGGGAGATAAGGAGTCCTTGCTTGTAAAAGATGACAAGGGAATGGGAACAAGAATATCAGACCAAAAACCTGGAGTGGTATTACATGTTTTCGGCTCTTCAGTTTGAAAGTTTGATATTGATATTTCAATGATTTCTTTGTATATAGCTGCCTAACTATAACTTTGTATGTTATATCCCAGCATAAGAATCTGAACAGTAAATGACATGCAAATATGATGTTGCTCATTTGCTGGTATGGAAGCTAAGCTATAGCTACCACTCAGAAGCCAAAATAGATCCTACCAGCTAGTAGTATCTCTGTACACAGAGTTGCTGTGTGAGCAACTAAAAAATCTGTTTTGGTTATGGTGATGCAGAAAAGCAAAAGACACAACACACAACCCCACAATGGTCTACCAAAACTAGCTGGATGTTTTATTATTTTTACAAGGGTTTTATTCAGTATAAGCCATGATCTGTGGACCCATTTTAAGCATTGTAACATTGTATATTGTTTCATTAAGGAAGTATACCATCTATGTAAAAGTATTAAAGCGATGCTGAAAATCAGTGGAATTATTTTTATTTTTTGCAGTAAGTAAAAGGTCTAACTTCTACCTCAGAGATTTAAAAATACTGTAGCTGATTCAGCAAGAAAGCTTCCTAAATGGAATGTACCTCAACTGCAGATTACACCGCTTTAACTTCTTTAAGCCTGTACTTTTACAGGTAGATAAAATGAGAATTAGCATTCCCAATAATAAATCCACTCAGTTCTTGCATAAGCAGCACAATAGCCACTCTGGACTTACTTCCATGAAAACTTAAGTATCACATATACATATTTTCTCTCTCCCTCAAACCCACTTTTTCCATGAAGTTCCCATTGTCAAATAAAACAAACTATATCACACACGTTCCCTTCCATCTCTCTTTCATAAACATAAATAAAATTAAGTTGAAGAGGATCCTTTCTTGTGCAAATTAATTTCACTAGTCCTACAGGTTAAGCAAGGCCAGACCAGCTATAGGCTGCCTTGAGGCATCAGCAGAATCTCTTTTAGTGTAACAACACCAGGGATGAGCAGTGTGATAAGAATCCATGGTTGTTCGACAAAAATAGACATTTGACAGTGTGAGAGGTTTTTAGCACAGTACTATTCAAGAACCTTGTCAAGTCAATGAGGTCTAAGGGAGAAAGAGCAAGTAGAATCATTTCCCTACTACAGCCATTGAAGAAAAAAATGGTACCGAAGGAAAAAAATAGAACAGTATTTCACAATCTAGACACCTACCACATATTTGGGTTTGCTGACTGCAACCAGGCTGGCCAGAAAGTCTTCATCATATAGCTTGCTAAAAACATGGGAGTCGTAGGCCACCACAATGGAAATTTCTTCCATCATTTTGTCAGCACACTCTGTTAGCAGTGCCAGCAACAGGTTCAGTATCCAACGACAAAGAATTAGCTCAGCTGTGTGTCGATTGTCCACACCCACTTGAAGAGACTAAGTGGGTGGAGTGTCACAGAAGGAACAAAAAGGCAAAGAAACACAGCAGCCAGCCCCAGCTCCTCTCTGCTGCTTTCCTCTGGGAATCTTCCTTATCTTTGCAGGAAATGTATAGGTGTAACACCTGTTCATATGCTCAGATAATAAAACAGTCATTCGCTAATGTCAGTAATAAAAAGTCTTTTTTCCAGTAATTAAAGTCCAAATGAAGCAGGGGTAAATCCGAAAACTTCGGTTGATAACAGAGTTCTCTCTTGTGTTTCCCCACAACTTCTTGTTCTTTAAATGTAATATTTCACCATAGTAAAAAGATTCTTTTTAGTGGAGGAGGACAGATTTCACAAGACGACTTGCTTTATGCTTATTCCACAGATTCCCACAGAAGGAGTGAACAGTATTCTGCCACTCTTGGAATTTTCCAGAGTCTCTTATCAGATACCTGAAGAAATAGTGTTTTTTCTTTGGCAGGTTTGGTCTGGTGTAGGGTCTGCTTTTGTTTCTTTTTGAATTATTCTGACATAAAACAGAAATATAGGGCCTCATCAGCCTTTTATTGAAACAATCTTATATACCTGTAAGATCACAGCGACAAGTTTTCACTGTTAGAGAGTAAGATCATACCTCAAAAGGATAAAATCTCATCTACATGGCCTTCATTCACAAGAAAGTGTATGCCTTTGTTCAACAAAACAGTAGAGTACAGAATCAGAAGAGCACAGAAAGAAAATCCTCCTTGCAGACAGTGTCCAGTCTTTCCCTAGTTTTTAACACAGAAGGACTTTGTAGTTTCAGACCAGTAAGTTTATCAAAAATATGTAAAGGGGGAAAATGCACCAAAATCTGAAACATTTGAGAATTTTCAACTATAGTTTTACCAATACATGCAAAACTCCATGCCTACCCTCCAAATCACAGCAAGTGCTTAATCAAAAAGCAATATTCTTACATTAAGAACAGAAAGGAGAAAACATCAAAGGACCCATTCCTGACTGACTTACTTCATATTTTGCCCTGTTCTATAGCATTTTCTTCCAGTGCTAAGGACAGATATATATCTGACATTTATCATGAATAAGAGTACATTTTGGTCACCACAAAAGTCATATGGTATTTCCTGGTCCAAACTGCTGCAACTTTGTCACATGTTTTTTCCCCTGCCAAATAAAACGAAAGAAAACTGCTCGTCATTTCATCCTGTTTTCCTCAGGGGTCCCTCTCAAAAATTACATGTATATCTCAAGAGCAACAGGTGTTGTTTGCTATTAAACAGGGAAGCTGGGACACAGCTGTAGCATGGTGGATAAAAAACATTTCCGTTTTAATAAAGGAGGAGTAAAAACCACTTGTTATTGCTAGGAAACAGCACAGAATTTTAATAGGCTTAAGGCAGGCAAAATGCAAAGAAATCCTCTTAAGAAATCCTTAAGAGCTACTGGTCACGTTTAACCCACTAAGTGCAATGAAAAACATATGTATCCTATTTGAAGCTTGTAACAGTGTAGTTCTGTGATACCGAAGCTAGGTTAATCTTACTTGTTTTCCCAGGGAAGTAGTTCAGATCTAAGCAGTAAACAAACCATTCTTTTTGGATTCCAGTGAACCTAATTCCTACCTGAGCTTCTAAAACTTGCACTTTGTTTTCCTAAGCATGCTACTAGGTCCAGGGAACCTCTTCAAAGCAAAAAGCATTTCTCCCTTCAGCTTTGCTTCAACTTCCTGGTAGAAAATGCTTGCTAGAAGTGAAAGCCTTTCTATAGTTTCACCACCACAATGACTCAGCTTGGGAGTATGATAATGTGTGTGGCACAAGGCAGGTGGACAAAGACACCTGTTGTAGGAGGAGGTAAGAAATGGAACGTCCCCTGATCCCAGGTTCCCTTCCAGGAAGGGATGAAATTACAACAACCATCACATGCATTACAACTACATACACTCCTTTCTTAAAATTCTGCGGCAGAATCAAAGAAGGGGGTGAGGAATGCAAGATCTCCACCCAAAAAAGCAACCTTAAAAACATGTCAATAGTATCCAGGTAACTTTTAAGTTAATCATTTGATGGCAAAAATATTGGGAGTCAGAATTTTGTATATCCCACCCTATCCTTTTAGTGTGGCAGCACCTACACTTTGGAACTGCCTGCCTATGGATATCTAGCAAATGTCTTCGCTGTATTCTTTTCAACGCTTGCTAAAAACATTCTTGTTTAGACAAGTCTACCCAAGCGGTGTGGATTTTAATCTGTTTTTAGCATTTTAACTTTTTGTATGGGTTAAAGTATTGTATTTTTTAATTTATAAATTGTCTTCTTTTTGTAAACCACTTTTCAAGCATCAGAGTATGTCCCTTTCTATTCTTAAGAAATTACAATAGCCACAACATTCATTTCCTCTACTATACTTAATTAACAAAAATGCATCCACCAGCTCCCTCTTTTAGCTTGCTACACTGGCTTCCTAGAAGACAAATCAGGAGACAGGAGTCACTCCACTCTCTGCTTCCCTCTACGCTTAATGAGCTGCTTGGCAGGGAAGGTAAAGAGAAACCTCCAAGCATACTTGGGAGGTAGTCTCTGAAATTCTCTCATGCAACATTTTAACAAACTGGAAATAGAGGACTTATTCTTTGTAAATTTGTCTATTTTCCAGGAAAGCCACATTTGATTCCAGGGGCAGACAACCCATCTGCAAAGATCCTTTTAGAAATTTCAAACCATTTCTGCAGAATAGTTTACTGAGACCACAGTGACTAATCCAACGGCTACTGCTTTAACATTTCACAATGATGCTACAGCAGAAGTAATAACGGAAGTGGTTTTACACCCTTTATTCTAGATTGCAGTTATGGTTCTAAACAGAAACACTAGTTATAAATTTTCATGCACACATATGCACACGCTCTACACTAGACTGTAAGATTTTAACTCACTGTTAACAAGGCATTTTGTGTTGAGGTAAAACTAAAGAAGAGGGCCCTGCGAGATCAGACCACTGGTCCAGCTAGTTCAGAATCCTGTTCTAAGAGTACCAATCAGACAATGAAAGGGAAATGGAAACTTAGTGAGAAATCTACTCTCCTTTCAACTGGCTAAAAGGTTGGCGAGTGAAAATATAGTGTATAACCCAAGTTGGAAAATAGGGTAGATAGTTGCAGAAACTTGAAACTTGTAGAGCTGGATCTGAAGCTGAAACACTGGTCACAGAGCAGTTTAGCAGCAGAAGCCAAAAGATGACTGTGAGGAGACTCAAAATCTGAACAGAGGGTAAAAATGGATAACGTGTTGACTTCATTAGGGTAACAGTTTAGAAAAGCCATAGTTATATGTGTT